CCCCAAAACCCCAAAACCCCATTAGATAAAATTAGATATTACATTGAATTAATCATATTTTTAATGAGTTTTAATGATTCATTTAATATTAATATATATATTTTTATCAGATTAAAATTATTAGACATCTTACCAATATGGAAAGCATTCATAATCAGTAGTTAATCGAAAATGTATAGCAAAGAATAGAGATCTCCTAAGCATATATTGATGAAAAGGAAAGTGAGGAGGCTAAAAGTTAAGAATGGAGATAAGATTTGAAAATAGGAGATATGGTTGATGTTTCCCTAGAATTGCCTGGATTTGAAGCGTAAAATGTATGGGTATAAGCATTAATTGTTTCAATTACAGATCTTACCTTTCTTGAACTAGACTTTATTTTTGATATTTGGCAGGAAGAAACCTTAATCAATAAATGGTCTTTGAAGGTTGCTTAATTCTAAAGTAAAACAAAGGAATCTTATTAAAAATAAAATAAATTACAACAATTGATGCATGTTGATTCATTTAATGTTACTTTTTGGATTTGATCTACAATCTTATAAATTAAAGAACAATATGAGCCTTTAATTGATAGAATAATAAAAAAGGCCTTTATAGGATTTAGAGTATAATCTGATACTGGAGATTATGAAGATTCGCAGTTTGGATAATACAAAGGATGTTGTTATAAATTTGATGAATGGATACCATTAAATTCTTAAAGAATATAGCCTTTTCTTTCATAAACATTGAAAGGTTCGAATATGAGGAATAAAGAAAAATTACTAGCATTACCTTGTTCAGCATTTGGGACTATCACGGAATTAAATTCTTTAACTGAAAATGGAAAATATGTAGATTAAGCAAATGAATATAACGAGTCTCCGCTTTATATAGCTTGCTTATTTGGTAGATTTGAGGTTGTTGAATATTTGATATCAATAAGAGCTAATCTTAATTAAAGAACTGATTACGATCTTTCACCTTTAATGGCTGCTATTTAAGAGGGTCATGCAGATATAGTAAGACTATTGATTAGAAATGGTGTTGCTGTAAATCTGAATACTAAAAATGCCTATTTTAGAGAAGAAATAGTATTCTAGGATGAAATTCTCAAACCAATTTACGAGAATATAGATTTTGAGAGAATCAAGAATTTATTGATGTATCATTAGTAAGAGATAAGAGTGGATTAAAAGAAAGGAACTTTCAAAAATCTGAATAAAAGTATCTTTAGGAAAGTTATAACTGAATATTTTTGATGTTAACAACAATTCATTAAAGGGTAGTAGGGTAGT